GTTTTCAGCTTAGGAAAAGGATAACTGGAAACACTCCAGAATACAGTTTGTGTACAAAACTAAAGACATACTAGAACTGGCAGAAAATGAAAATACTTTTATTTTTTAAGAGTCTTTAGAAGAAACTCAAAACAAACGTCTGTCACACCTTGTTTGTTGCGTATCTGTGACTACTCTCACAAATCAGAGACTTAACGTCCTTAGCATCTGCTAACCATACAAAACATGGAACATACGGAAAACTACTCAAATCTTAAGCTCCCAAAATACAAGAGCCAATAACGCTCTATTCCTCCAAGACCTAAAATAGACCACAACTGTTATTTAAATCACCTAGAAATAGTATGTGAGGTTCAGCAATCCAACCCTATTTTAAGACACTGTTGCCCATCAATGGGTTGATTTCTCCACATACAGGAACAGTTAACTGCATTTTCATACGGTGTAACACTTGGTAATCACACATAAAACATGACCTACAATAATCATCTATGGGTAGAAAAGCTTCTGCCACTGCGTAGGAAGTATTATTTTAGTGATAGCATGTCCATACAAGAACCAAAGCAAAATTGCTACGGAACACAAACTTTGTCTTTCCTGACATCCACTTCAAGTTTTCCACTTTATCCCCCAGGAGTTATTAGCCAATACAGATTTGTCTATGTATGCTGAGCTTACATTACAACCACTACTAATTGTCAGGCCCAAAGCACCCTTGTTTTCCCTGAAAGAAATGTTAATGTTTACTGTATTACTGCTGCCTTCTCTGCCAAGTGAAGCAAAGAACCTGCAGTTTTAATGCACTGGCAAGTCCACGTCATGATTTTCACCTCTTATACATCAGGTCTAAAACTACAATGAATTTAAATAAAAGCTAAAAAAAACCCCAAAACAACAACTGCTGTAGCATTACCAACTGCTAAATTATGCATCATTTTCATATGTAAGTCAGAATCTCTCAGTTGTGCAAACTGGGTTACAAACTTAAAAAACTCCACCATGCTAGGGTGGGGGGGCTGGCGGTGTTGTACTGTGCCAGACCAGATGGCAGACTTCCAACTTACCTGCAGCCTCTTCACTGACTATATGCAAGGCAGTAACAATGCCCGTGAATGGTCCCTTTCACCGGTCAGGCATAACTAGCTACGCTACCACGATCAGCACAGTTCTCTATTCTCTCCCCACTACTTTCTTCTTCTATCGCTCTAGCACAGCTCACTGAAAATAGAGACAATTTCTTGGTGGCAGAGGGACTGAAGGAAGAAGGAAAAAAATAACATGGGTGGGTGGAGGGAACAAGTTAGTCATATAGTCATCACTTCCCCTGTAACTCATGCTATTGCATCACTCCTTCGGTCTACATTCAAGTAAAGTAAAGAAACCAAGATGTAAAATGTATGCCACCCATTACACAACTAAAAGCACAGAGGACACGTAACCTACCAATTCAAGGAACTGGAACCTGTTCAAGCAAGGATTTGAGAAATAATTTTGTGAAAGACAAATTTCAATTTAGCAAAAATTATAGGGGGCTGGCGTGGTGTGGAAACAACTTTTCGTATTCAACAATGCTTAGAGGAGACTGAAGACAATAACGTAAGTGCAGACAGACAACACCTATCACCAATACAAGATCTCGAGATTGCAAAGCAATAGTCTTTGAAGACACTCATGTTCACAGCATCCAAAGAGACAATGTTAAGAATTGTTATGATAGGGAGAAAAATATACAAATCACAATGACAACTAATAAAACCATGATTTTAGACAATCCAGGGAATTCCAGGCAACTCTCCTGAAACTGGCATAGAGACGAATTCAGAATGAGAACAAGGATGGTCCTGGCCAACAGGACCACAAAGACTTATCTTCTGTCATGATGCTGATCTGTCTTCAGCCCCAGGAAGTTCCTACAACACTGACTGCTAGGAGGAAGAGAAAGACAATGACACTAAGGTGCCTGTCCAATTCCTCAAGCAAAAATCTTTGATTAATCTACTACTACCAATGGGCGTATTCCTGCTCTTCCTTCCAGCCTCCATTTCTTGGCTCCAATCTCCCTACTGCACACCAGCACACATCCGATCCCTCTGAGCCTGTGCTATTCACGCAAGTAACAGAATGAGTCCCAAATAA